TTTAAACATGACATTAATAGACAACCACTTTTGAAACTAATAACCCAGATGTTTATTATATTTTATGTAAATTACTTTATGTTCCCAATGTTATATATGTTGATTATTAAACAAGTGAATTAATTTAAAAGAAAAAACACAAAATTCAGTGAAAAAACTAAGTAAAATCCTATGATATTTAATATAGTTCGTAAAGATCATAATAACTCTATGGTTTTATTTATTTATTACTTATAACAATTATATTTTAGATGGTATACATATGTATGGATTTAATAAATAGTAATTATATTTTATATTTGATAGACTATGATTTATACTATCATTAATACACATTCAGTACTGATTTCTTTTTTAGAATTTAAATTTCGGATATTAGTATCACCACTGGCTTCTATTAATTATTAAATTAAAATTTGACATGTAACAGAAATATTATTTTCTTATAAAATACTTTTATTTATTAAACAATTACAAATTACCTTAACTTATAATTATAACAGTATAATTATAATAGTAATGATGAAATGCTTTTTACTCTAGAGATTTTGAAGTTCGTTATTAAAATGTAATCTATTTGACGATACAAATATATATTTTTACAAACTATTTTTATATACACTATCTATAATATTTGTAATCAATTTTATTTATAATACAATATATATATATATATATATATATATATATATATATATTTATTATCATTTATCTGTCATTTAATCGATTCTAATATCAATTGCAAATAATTTATCTGTATAATTGCATAAATTGAGATTACAAGTCTCAATGATATTTGTCTAACAAAATAATTCTCGTATCTTCGCTATAATGAAGAAATAATTTCCATTACCAAAAGAAAATGCTCTATCAATTCTATTTGATGCTACAGATAAAGTAACAATTATTCATTTATCATGATATTTCATCTATAAAAAATGTGATATTTAATCTATATTATTGAATTTTATATTAATTAAAAATAATTTTGTATCTACTATTTCCTATAAATAAAATTCTTAAATCTAAATTATTGTACATTGTGAGTCTATGCAAATAATATCAAATAAAAATAAATTCAAAGTCGAAAATGGATTTTGCACGAATTTGGGTGCGCGCGTGCGATGGAGTAACTCAGAACCATCGTATTTATGTAATTTACGTCAAATACATAATGTCAAGATCTCCGACAATTGAGCAAAAACGTAAAAACGAAGGTGTGAAAACCCTTAATGCCTTAATAATATTCAACGACGTTATTGGTGTCAATAAAAGACCAACCACTCTTGCATAGTGTTAATAGATATTATAAATAGTACTAGTAGTACTAAAAATAGCTGTAAATCATAGTTATAATCATAAAAATAAAGAGTTTGTGATACTATAAATAGGCAGAATCACACGTGAATAGAATACTTGAGGATAAATTATGTCAATAAATCATGCGATTCATAAACGAAAGTAAAGATAAATGTGCAATTTTCCAAAGTAAAAATACAATTGGATACGCTAAATGTTCGGTAATATTAACATTTTCTGAACGAATTCACAATAATGCAGTCGCCTTTATGACATAGTCCTTGCATATTATATATTACAGAGCAGCTGCTCTCGATAAGAATTATCAGTCTTCTTACGATGTCCAATCTCATGCGAGAGAATCCCAACCCTTGGAAACAAAATCGAAACATATAGGCTGAAGTCCAGCGAAGACCTAATCATGATGACCAACATATGGCCCAGTTCATCGAAGAAAGGAAATTCCATAGACTAGGTGGATGAGCGGAGAATCGAATTCCGAGTATTTGAAGAATCAACATTCTTCAAATTCTCGAAAATAGCACAATGGAAAACGATCGAACACGCGGCGAAGCAAAATTCCGGTAAAAATAATTAGCAGTCAACCAGAATCAACTATATCTAAAAAAAAAAGCTACGTACTATACTCTGCATAACGAAACAATGTTCCCTATATACTGCTTTTCCTCTTAAATTCTACTCCATCAATAATCATAGAGATGATCATCAAGAATTGATGTTCTAAATAATATCTAAAATCATATAGGAATTGAATGTTTGAAGATAAATTTGAAGATACACGAAAATGAAGATTTTTTCCAAAGTAGCAAAGTAATTGAATGCGATAAATGTTCCGTAATGCACGTGTCTCCTCCTGAACGAATTCATAATGATTTTTTCAGTTCCATAGATACTGTTTCACCTTTTAGTTTGTAGCCCATCAATAATCATAAGAATACAGAATTTGTCATGATAAAAATAACTAAAATCTCGAGCTAAATATTAATAGAATATATTTGATTTGATTAATTTTTTAATTGAAACAAATATATCTTAATATATATATAGTAAATGATAGATTTTTATTGATTTTTCTTTAAGATGATTTTGATTTATACAATAGGTTTTATAGCGATATTTTACATTGGCTATGAAGAATATTTATTTTTTAAGCAATCGAAACTTAAAAATGTTGACATACCTTATATAATTTAATATCCATACTTGGTTACTTTGTAACACATTTTTCTAAAAATCAGACGTTTCGAAAAATAAATGTTCCTTTTTACAATAAATGTTTGGATTAAATTTTACTTTAATCTGGACAACAGATTAATACATTCCCAACTTTTATGCAAACTATGGGTAGATAATTTAGGTGACATTCGTTCTGAGTCACCAACCACATTAATATATAAAATAATAATGAATTCACATTAACTTATAAACGGGAAAATTTGAGTCTTTATATTCAAGTGTACAAATAGAAAAAAAATTATGTTTAAACCATGATCAAAGGGAACAATTATTCTTTTGTCAGATTTTACATATAAACTATAATTTTCGTAAAAATGATTTATGACTAATAATTTTAATAATCCTTATGTTTTAATATTTAATAATCTTTCGAAATACTTTCTTTAATACACATGTTTATACATACATATTTATACATTGGTTGAACTCTTAAGTAATACTTATTATAATATTTCAATGGTAAAAAATGTTATTATTCTACCTATTTTAGTTGTTCAAAATTTGTAAAATAGTTACAAATTTATATTCATATATTATTATTCTATTTTAACAATATTTTTCAAATTATTTCATAGTAAAAATCATAGCCAATTATACTGATAATTTTTTTATTAGAATAAAAAGGTAAATATATACTATAAATAGGTCTTGGCTGATAGAATCTTAATTAAATACCTAAAGACAAAATCAGAGTGATAGGCAATATAAATGTACATAATCACTTTTCTTCTTAAATAACAAAGCATGTTGGTAGATCTTGTTAATATCGTTTTTTTTTAGATCTTTTGCTATGCAATAGACCAAAAGTGCATACAAAATTGTACGTGAAATAATAAAATAAACACTTGCGATTGCAACGGTCTATTATCTAGCAACTAAAACTGAAAGAAAACATCCATTAAAGCCGATTCAATACATTTTATCCAAGAGGAGAAAGTTGGCAGTTCCATGCAAGAAGGAGATAGTGAATTAATTTGAGATATAAACAATGAAAAACTAAATTTATTAAAATATACTCGCAATTACGTACGCAAACGAATAACAATATGGGTGATATAGATTTGAAAAAATTATAAATTATTTTCTTATTTATAGTCAATACCGAACCCCAAATAACTAACTTTTTACTTTCTTTAATATTCATTCGACATTTTAAAACTATATCTTTATACATTTCACAATTAAAATTAATTAAATTATTTTATTTAAATACATCTACTACACAGATATTTGTGTTTATGTTTTTCATTTCACAATTAATATGCTTATTATTTATATTTGTGATTAATCAGATTTGAATAATAGCTATGACATATATATAATTCAGAGTCGCAGCTCAAATAAATTGAATTGTATCACTATTAATTACTTCCGTATAATAAACAATAATGAAAGCCGTCAAAAGTTGGAAAATGTTCAGATCCTCGATAATCAAAGGAATAATTAAGTTTTAAATCATTATTATGAGATTTTTATAATAAAAATGATATAGAAACAGTTATTATCTACATTATAATTTAATGTGCATCAAAAATTAAACTCTAACATTCAATTTATTGAAAATTAAAAAACAATATTGTAATAGATATTTATGATAATACTAACATCCATACAAATAAATTTTAATACGAAAATTGTATAGCGTAGATTTATATATATATATATATATATATATATATATATATATATATATATATATCATGTTTTATTATGGTCATGAATTTTAAAACAACGATAAATTATTTATAAATTATGAAGAAAGATATAAAATATTTATGTCACATTATATAAATTGTATTTTACATATTGCATTTTAATTTATCTGACTACAGATTTTATTTGAATGAAAATAAAAAAAAAAGCATTACCAAAAATTAAGTGTTATTAGCACGATTAAAAAAAAAAAAAAAAGAAAAGAAAAGACCCATTATTCGATAATTAATTAGATTTATTAATTCATTAAATTTTTTTAATTTATATGACAGATACAATAGCAACTGCTTATTATGCTCAATATATTCATGTATAAATTACATGAACGAATTGCGATTGAACTATAATTTCATTAATTGTAAAAAAAAAATTGTAATTATTATTAAAATTAAATGTGATATAATAAAATTAAGTGATAAGAAGCAATTATAGTATGGATTAGGTTATTCATTCTTGAAATATACGTTAGAATAATTCCATTTTAAATATGATTAACGGCAAATTAATTAAAAAAAAAAAAAAAAAAAAACGTAGTTCTGCATATGTAGATATTAAAGGCAACATATTTATATTTTGATTTTCGTATTATACGTTTACATAATTTTCATATGAATTAGATCGTACGGAATTTTTAAAAGGATTAGTCGACCCATGGAATCTGGATTGCGAATTGCTTTCATTTATTTAATGTCCGAAAGCGAATTCCTCAACGTTCCTCTTTTCTAATTCGTAATTGCCTGACGTACGTATTATCTTCTCAGCGATTTATTATTGATATTGTAAGTAATTTACGTATTTGGCAGATTTATTTTTGTTGAAAAATAAGGAGTTGATTAATATGCCTCCATCGAATGAGGAAGATCCATATCAACATGTTGCAAAAGGAACATTGAAAATAAAAGGCACGGATACGTCAAGCAAGAAGTAAATATTTTTCTCGATTTTAATATAACCTATGCAGTTGTTATAATGTTTAAATATATATCTTTGTAAAAGAATGAGAATAGATGGTTTATAGTTATTTAACAATAGCGATCGCAATTTCCACTTGATATTTTCATGATAAACGTCAAATTTACATTTATCCAAATAGTTGGAAAAATATTTGTTTACATGGGAAAAAAATGTACAAGCTTCTGCAATATTAGAAAAATTTTATTTATTTTTTTATTTTTTTATTTTTTTTTTTTTTAATGAATATATTTAATGATAAGTAAAAGTATTGTATTTACGATCGGTACTATTGTATTCATTATAAAAAGATTAATTGTAATTTTTATTTTTTTTTTAACATATATGCATTATAAAATGATATATAAAATAGCGATTAAAGATTAATACATAAATTAAATATCTTCTGTGTATTTAATATTGTAGGAAGAAGAAGAAAAATAAGGAAATGAAAAAACTTGTAGAAGTTGCAAAAATTATTGAAGAAGAAATGCCTGAATCAGTTACAGTGAAACGAACAAAAGCGGAACTTGCATTTCAGAAGATGAAAGAAAAAACAGTAAGAAATGATAACATAATTCATATCGCTTGATAATTAAATTTAAAATTTAAATATTTAAGATTTAATTTATTTTTACAGCAAAATGAACGAATAAAACAAAAAGCTTCTAAAACTCACAAGCAACGAGTCGAGGAATTTAATCGCCACTTAGATGGCTTAACAGAGCACTTTGATATTCCTAAAGTTAGTTGGACAAAGTAAACTGTTACTTTATTGTTACTATCGAATGCTTTCAATATATTTTACAATTTTCAATAATACTTTTAATGTATTATTGTACTTTAAAATAATGTAGATATTTATTTTCATATACATTTGAAATGAGGATCGTATTATGGATATAAGTTAAATATACAACTTGACTTATTTCTTAATTGTATTATATTATACGTAATTTAAAAAATACACTATAAAAATAGAAATCTGTACATTAAGTCTGTACAAACGATAAATAAAATCGCATGTCAAATGACATTGTTTTTTAAAACCACATGTAGCAGGTTCTTTATTATACAGTAATAAACTTATTATTTTTAAAATTTGTTCGTTTACTCATATGTATTCAATACATATAGATTTACTATTGCATTGTTAAATTCTTATAATTAGACAGTATTGTTAATAATATAATTTTTCAATATATTTTTTAATAATATCCTTAAATAAGTTGTTTAATATCAATTTAGATATTAAAATAGGGAAAAATAAATTGATATTACTGCCCAATTATTGATATAACTATGCTTTCTCAGGCACTTTAAAATCTCCTATATTGCATATTACACTAAAATGGACGGAATATATAAATACTTTAAAATTACTTTCAATAATACAAAAAATATTGAAAATAATATGCTCAAATTTGATGCATCAATGCAATTACCTAACTCCCATTGAGTACAATTCTTATTGATAAAAAGATCCAAAGGAAAGAATTTATAGTGTGATATTTTTAAACAATTTTGATTTAGTAAAAATAAGCAATAAATTATGATCATCTAAATAATTAGTATTTCTAACCATAATGAAATACTTGAATGTAATTTTCACTTCGTACCCATGGATTACTACCGTCATCGAAATGCATTGGACATTGATCTCGTTCTCTTTCGTATTCCTACAAAAATGAAAATTATTGAACTAAACTTTTATATCTAAATTAAAACTGTATTTAAGAACATATCTGTCTCATAACCGTTTTCCTTGCACAAATTTTACAAATAATTTTTATTAAAAAAAGAAGCGTACAAATATGCAATAAACTTCGATAAATATTATTATACACATTTCTAAACTTACGACTAAGTCAAGGGCGACTGCAGCACCCTCGGTATAGTTCCAACTGGTCACATCTTGCTTCACATCGCAATAAGGGCCGATAGCTTGTGACATAAGAACTCTATTCAAATCAGCTCTTTGATATACCCAACAATGATATTTACTGTAGGGATCAAGTTCGTCAAATGTAATTAGGTATGATTTCAAATTTTCTTTGTAATAACCAATACATTTCATCTTATAGTCAGGCCAGCCTATAAATATACAAATAATATTTAGACTTATATCAATAGTAATTAGAGAAAGTATAAATGAAATATTCTGCATTATTTTTCATTAGTCAACAATCATATCTGTATCACTGTTAGTTGCAAAAAAGAAAAGAAAACGTTGTTAAATTAATTGCTTCTATTATTTTAATTATACTTACTGTATATGTCAACTGGACGTCCTAAATGATCAACCGATAAACAATAAGTTTCATCAATTGCAATTTCCTTCTGATCAGTATCGCATACTGAAAAGTCGGAAATATTTTGTTTACAATAAATATTCGGTCGAGGTGTATCTGTAACACCACCGATTATTCTTGTTTCAAAAAGAACGTCGCCCTTTTGTTTGAACATGAATTTTCCCGCAACCGGACATCTAACTGGTACCGGATCCTTCGCTAAATTCAAAGAAAATGATTAATATTTACAATGAAAAGACTAAAATCGATTAATTATTAATTATTGATATTAACCTAAAAATAAATCATATTTCCATTCAACTTTATTCTTAAATTGCACCCACGAGCAGACTGTATGAAAATCGTCTTTGATAACTGCCAAGCCTCGCCTATATCTAATTATATTATGATGCTGTGGCACAAAATCAAAGCAAACGTAATCTTTCTGACTGTAAATAAAAAAGAAAGTAGCATACTATTTAATAGGTTCTTATTTTAGTATTAATTTGAAGCTCCTTGGTAAAAAATGATGCCAATTGTCAAATTCTTTTTGTTTCTATTATTTGCAAATATAATATTTTATCTATAACTTACCATCCGTCCACGGTTAATCTCGCCATCATCACTCTGGAATCTCTCTGCTCGCGACAAGTATAAATTGTTTTTCTATATCTTCCAACGTCTGGATACCAAGTCTCGATAATGTGCGTTTCATTGATGAAGACATCGGCATCTATGTTAGCTGTATTAATCCAATTTCCTGTCATGTTTTGAGGTAGCCGACATCCAGGCTCTACAACTTCAGCTTTCACAGGAGTCACACGAAGACGCTCGGGACTCTTTTCCACCGTTTTCAAAGTATTGCACTCAGCCGTTATTGAGACACCTATGTAAAGGTCATCGTCTCGATTTTTTAGAAAACAACGATACTTTTCATCCTTTCTCGATTCTTTTGTATTAGCTACAGCAAAGAAGTGATTTTTGTCAACAAACCAATCACCCAAACAACTGTACTCGACCACTACGGATGAAATATGAAACGCAATTTATTACAAATAAATAATATATTATATCCCTTATAAATAATGTATATATAAATAAAATATAAATAATATATCCCTTAACGATAAGTTGCAAAACTAATATGAAATTTTATCTATAAGAAATGCATATACAATTACCTCCGTCAAAAGTTCCTTTCATACCAGGACATTGTTTATAAGTTATATTAAATTTTTGATTGGTTATAAAAAATTGTGTTCCTGCTGTTTGACACGAACGAATTTGGGCCTCTGGATTATTACATTCTCCAGTAAATCTAAATCGATTCTAAATACAAAAAATAAATTGTTTATTAAGCAAAATGTACCATCAAATTTTTTGTAATAAAATAATTTTCTAAATAAATTGTCCAAGTAAATTAGTGTCATTGATAGAAATAGTAATACAAAGTAGATTTTTGTATTCATACGTATTGTTTATGTTGATATTTTTAGGAAATCGATGCATAAATAAAAGAGAATTTATACAATACATTTATATATATATATATATATATATATATATATATGACATTCATTTTTTAATTTGTGATGGATTTAAAAAATTACATCTTCGTTATTGATTTTAAGTATTAATTTGCAAATTTATTCACTTGACACAAACATGATAATCACATACTATAAACATAATACAAAATTTTATACCTGATAAGCAAATTGCCATACACCTTCCAATGAAGATCTACAATTAACAGGTACATAATTTTCTGAGAACAAGGTAATCAATTGCTGATCAGCTCGTAAACCTTTACAGACATTTTCCACCGTGGGTTGCATACCCAATGGCAAATTCACACAACTCACTAAAAACAACATCAACTTTATAAATATTTAAATTCTTCTTTCAAAAATATGTTTCAATATATCTACTTACTTTCAAGTTTTTCTAATACATTTACAGTGCGCACAAGAAGTTTAACGCAATGATAACAAACATCTCGCTTAAAGACAAATGTATAATTGACGTGAAATTCTTCCTTCATATCAACGCAATAACCTCTTTTGGACATTGTTTCGCCATTGATTTCTGTTAATGTATTTTGCCCATTTTCCCAGGAGAACCACGCACCTCTGATTATAAGTGGAATTTGACACGAACTCTGATCTTGTGCAGTAAATATAACTGAAAATTTTTAAAATACCTTCCTTAAAATATTATTTTGAAGAAAATATATATAAGCTCATTATAATCAATAATTTATTATTGAACAATGCCAGAGTATGTGCTTTTTTTTTTTGCATAAGTATAAATTTTCATACATTTTTTTATTTATGTATTTAAATGATATTTCATTCACTACATCAGTGGTAAGTGGAAAATATTTTATAATCAATTGTTGATTATTTAAAAGAAAAAGTCAAAACAACGGTAACTTACCAAAGGAAAACATTAAGCATAGCAAAATATGAAATTGTGTCATTGGGAGGCTCATTTTTATTTTATACTTTTTGAATGACAATTTATCCTTATTGTGTCGTATTTAAAAAAGAATTTAAGCCAAAAGGCAACGTGAGTAAATAAGAAAATAATCAGACAACGCCCATGTTTGAGAATTGAGAACCGTTGGCGCCGTTTTCAATTTTGTCCACTTTCAAAAAGTCTTGTCGTCGTCGAGTTCTGGACGTTGCGCTCACATGTGAATTTGCTTTTAATCAACGACGGAAGGGAATTTCCGAGACAACGTGTTCTTTTCTCTTGGTACTTCTTTGAGTAAACGGTATAATCGAAGGCAAATATGGTCCAAAAGAAGGTAAATTAATACACTTTTCGTAAATAAATAATGTTTGTTATTAGTTTATTATTTATGCTCATTTTTAAAGTATATTTAATTAACAACTCGCAATCCACTGTGCGACAAATAGTAACAAATATTGTGTACGACTTAACCTAAGAAATAAAATGTGATCTACTACTTTTCACCCTCCGAAATTTGGACATGTAGATTGTTTACGTATTCTACCCTTTCATTACGAAATATCTTATTAACTGTGTTTTAAATTATATTGAAGAAACTTCTTTACGAAATTTATATCTAGTATGGAATAACCGCCACGATCTATTATAATTTATATCACAATTGCGATGTAATGATTTTGTAATTTTGTTCATTTATACGTAATAATTAATGCAGTTTTTATTAATATGTATAAAATAAAAGTTAGTCGTAAGTTCGTTTATTATCTTACAAATAATTTAAGTTGCATAAAAACATTTATTGCTTTAGCCGAAGAAGAAAGTAGGAAAGAAGATAGCTGCAGCCCCATTGGCAGTTAAGAAGGTCGAGCCCAAGAAACAAACAAATCCACTTTTTGAAAAACGTACAAGAAACTTTGGCATTGGTAAGTATCAAAATTATTAGGTATTTTAAAATTAAATTGCAAATAACAAATTTTTATCCCATTACAGGCCAAGATATTCAACCCGACAGAGATCTAAGTCGTTTTGTTAAATGGCCAAAGTATATTCGTATTCAAAGACAAAAAGCGGTTCTTTCAAAACGATTAAAGGTTCCTCCACCCATTAATCAATTTACACAAACCCTTGATAAACAAACTGGTAAGTAAATTGATAATAACTTGGTAATTGATTAGTGTTTACTTTATCTACGTTAATTAATGAAAAATTTTTATTCTAGCTACACAGTTGTTCAAAATTTTGGAAAAATATCGTCCAGAAACAGCTCTTGTTAAGAAAATAAGGCTAAAAGCAAGAGCAGAGGAAAAAGTAGTTAAGAAGGAAGATACGCCAACTAAGCGACCCAATGTTCTAAAAAGTGGAAGTAATACAGTTACGACTTTGGTCGAACAGAAAAAAGCTCAACTGGTTATCATCGCACATGATGTCGACCCTATCGAAGTAATTATTCAAAATTAACGACTAACAACAAAAATTGATTATGATTTGAAAAATTTTTATTTAACAAATATTTTTGCTCTTTAGATTGTTCTGTTTTTACCAGCTCTTTGCCGTAAAATGGGTGTGCCGTACTGTATTGTAAAAGGCAAAGCTCGTTTGGGTCGTCTTGTAAGAAGGAAAACGTGCAGTACTGTCGCTCTATCGCAGGTACAGTTTATAAATATATAATAGTTTGTACAAATTATAAAATGATGAATACAATAGAGCCAATCCAATGATTGTTTGTGATATATTCTATTACCACTGATTATCTTAAATTTGAATATGTATGATTTTCCCATAGTAAGTAAATATTTTATTAAATAAATAAAAAATTTTTCAAAGGTTGATTCGGGAGATAGAGCAAACTTTACCAAGGTTGTCGAGGCCATCAAAGTTAACTTTAATGATCGTTACGATGAGATCAGACGTCATTGGGGAGGTGGTTTACTGGGTAGTAAATCAGCTGCTAGGATAGCCAAATTGGAGAAAGCAAAGGCAAAGGAACTTGCACAGAAGCAAGGTTAATTTTAAGTTGTCTATGATTTTTATTAAAAAATGTACAACAATCTATTAATAAAAACAGACAATTCTGGTAAATTCAGTTTCCCTTATTTTATTAAGTTAATTAACATAGACTTAATATTAACTGTACAATTTTTTTTTAATCTACATCTTAGTCTTACATTCTCTTTTTAATTAATTTTTCTAATCTTTTAATTCTTCCTGCCTCGTGTTCTGGACTCTCTTGCACAATATTTGCTCTAAGCTCGCTCGATGAGTCTGCATTTATCCGTTGCTTAAACTCCTCCAATAACTGAACTTGTTCGATTTTCCGCAAACCCTAAGAAAAATTTATAATCACAATATTATTTTACGTAATTGTGAATTTCTTTCGTAATTTTGGTTATATAAATATTTTTTACTTTCATATCCAATATTTTTTGAAATTCTGGTATTTTGAGATCCGGTAATAATTTTCTACACTGGTCGGCGAAAGCGCTTGCAGATTCTGTTGGTGACATTACAATTTTAAGAATCATTTCAGCGTTGGTCATACCTTTAACTACAACCTGTATAAATATGTTTTTAATGATCGTTAAAAAAATTTAGTTTTAATACAAGATTACACGATTAAGAATAAAATAAGAAAATTTATTTGAATGGAAGTAGTAGTAACCTTTGTATACGTAGCTGGTGCTTTTCTGTGAATTTGGCAACCAGTCGATGGAAGATCTAATAAAGCAGTTTTTAACATATGAACATCTAGCAATAATTGTTCTGCTCCCACTGTATTAAGAGGTTTGCACTTATATATTTGTTGAGTTAATTTAGGAATGAAGGAGCTGTAATATACATTTAATAATTTGCAATTAAATTATAATATGAAAAAATAAAAAGATAATCAATTTATTTGTGTGTATACCTAACAAATTTAACACAAAGTTGTGTAAAATATTTTCTGCAAGAGGACAATTGATCTCTAATAGTCGGAATGGTTTGACAAAGATGAGCCACTATTGTACTCACATAACTGCTTTGATCACCTACGCTTTCAACTGTACTCCACTGCATCTATTTCAATTATAAACATAAATTAATTGTTTGAACTAAAACAATTTGTTTAATTACATACCCTTATCATGATATTTAAAGGTGGTTCACATGCTAATTCCAAATCCTGGACTAATAATTGAATACAGTTTGATATTACTCTGAAATAACATAATTCTTAAATTTACAATTTACTTAGAATTAAATTGGTAAGTAATTAAATTAAGTAATAATTTTACCCATGAAAAATATCTTGTTCTTGAGACAAATTGATCTTGTCTGCATATGTCTTATCAGTTTTCAAACGAAGTTTTTCTTCCAATTGCTGTGTTGTTTCAAGGCAATATTCTGCAGTTGTTAAAATACTGAAAAATAAAAATAAATTTAAGAACAAACAAAAAGGAAACAAGTATGTTTTAAAACAAGTTATGGCTAACCAACAAATACGTGCTTGCTCTTCTTTGTTAAACCTACTACTTTCACCTTCCTTCAAAAAACTTTGAAAATTTTGAATAAAGCCTGAAGTTGATAAATCTCGAAATTCTCTTGTTATACTACTTACGCTTGATCCAATACTAGCCCCACCAATTCTAACAAAAACACAAATTTATTTATATATACAAACACATATATATATATATATATATATATATTCAGAATATTTAAGTGTTAATTATATTTATACAGTGATTTTCATAATGTCTAATTTAAATTTTAGAATAATTTATTGATAGTTATGAAAAACATTATATTCATACAATAAATATATTTTTCTACGATATCTATAATTCATGAAAAGCTGTTTATTTATAAATAATATTAATATACTTCATATATTCTCACAGTAAAATTGTATATAAAATTTAAAATCTTTATTCAATAAAGACTACGAGCTGAATTGTACTAAATCTATATATTATGATTATTGTATGAAATTAATAAAATCTTTTATGCTTGTAATCTTAAATAAATGTGATTGAATAATGAGATTTGATAATTGTAAGAAGTTATAATAAAATAATTGTAATAAAATATTATTCGTTAACATAAATGAATAAAATTCACTAACTTTGGCAGATTACTTTGCAAAATCTTCATAGCGTATTCACGTAAATATTTCTGAAAAGTCTCAGCCAGGCTTAACATAATCGATCCAGAACTGAGCTGAGTACATTGTAACATACACTTCTTATAGAATACAAATAAGTCTGCGCACGAAGAAAGTACACTGCTCGGACCCTCTATGCCCTCGTATGCCTGAGCACCAGGTGGCTGAGCTTTACAATCCGCCATAAATTTGTCCACGAGCTCGAATAAGTTTCGATCCAAACTCTCTATGTAAATGTACAGATAAGACTCGAAACAGTTGCCTATCAAGTTAGCAAAAAGGCTTGGCATTGCTTTATCTTGTTCCACCTTCAACATTGTAGGAATATTATTAATCAATTTTAAGTAATGAGCTTTCTTTTTTGAATAAAATAAAATTATACAAATTATTATTATTGGCAGCAATTTAATTCGTTCGTGTATTTTGTTAAGCACCTTATAAATATTGTATCGATTGAAAGTCGAGTAATGGTATTTTCAACGATAAGTAAAACTTACTTTCTCCGTACTTTCCTCTTCGAATGGATTGCCTGGTACGTTACCATCGCTCGTAATGCTTGCAGCTGCTATCCCAGCAACTTTCTTATCCTGCTTAGTCGGGTCTCCTAACGTTACACCCGTAAATCTTTTGGATAGCAAATTTTCGAAATTCGTTGTGCGCTGAATAGCATATAATAATAACTTGACGTCTATCTCAGAAGATCGTTTGTGCATAAGTTTAATGAGATCCTCGCGCGTTATGTGGCAGAATTGAACAGCTATGCGTTCGGAAACCTCCCAGTCTTGTGGAAAAATGCTGCCGAACTTCGATTCAAAGTCAAGGAGGTGCTTTTTAATCCAGGCGTAACGTCGATCGATTTTGTCTAGCCAAGCGAAATCCTGATTTTCGTCAAATAGGTGGGTATACTCTTGTAGTTGCTTGGCCACAAACCAAACTAACAGCTCTTTCCTATAAAAATTAGATTTCAATATGTATTAATTATAAAAATTATTATTTCGTGATTTTAATTATAACTATAAAAAAAAAAAGAAGAAGATATAAAAGTAAGGATATGAAATTCTAATTGTAATGCAATAAGATAGAATACAGCTGTATGGAAGTTTTTACTTTAAAAGAGAACTCTATGTTTTTCTTATTATTACTTAATCGATTATGATATTTAATCGGTGACTGAGTACATTTTATTTTATCAGGTAAAATATCTTACTTCACTTTTGGATCTAAAGCAGAAAGCACTAAACATCCTTCGGTTAATTGAGTAAAATGCTTGAGATTCTGACCAGAAAAGGCCTCTTTGAAGTCTGTTGTTATTTGCTGAGCTAACTCAATATGAATTTGTTGCACCTAAAATTAAAAAAAATAGATTCACAAAAAATCATACGCTAATCGAGCATTTTTTCGAGTGTTTTTAAATAAAAATTTTTAATGAAAATTATTTACTTGATCGGACAATTCTTTTATTTGGGGTATATCCATGTAATTGTTAAAATGTTGCATTACTTCCATAGTAGCTTGCAACGGTAAAATAATCTCTCCATATTGTTTCTTTCTTGTTAAATCTCTATAATTAAATACATTATATTATTAGGATAAATTAAAATTTAATCTTTCAAATATAATCATAATGATAAGCTTACTTTAATGTCTCGACTCCATCAACCAGCATATGTAAGTGATTTAAAGTAATGATAGACGATGTTAGATTTTTTTTTGCAAAATCTAATTGCTTTATATCTCTCGTTATTTCTTTAACGGTTTCTTCTGACTGTTCAGCCTTAGATTTAATATCTTTAATTTGTATAAATAATTGTCTAATAGCCTTTTGTGCATCCTGTAAAGCTGTCTTTCCATCCTGATTATTATTTGTTTGACCTCGCACAACTGTACGAATTTTTTTGTCTATACAACGAATTTCTTGCTCCATTTTAGTAATAACATCATCGATATTAGAAAGCGATTGTTCAGTAGGAAATAAAGAATTGATGTAATCCACAGCATTGAAATCTGGTTGATCTAATGGATCGTTGCTTGGACAAACCTATAATTATTTACAGGTGTATATGCATATATATATATATATATATATATATATATATATATATATATATATATAATTTAATATATAATAATATCGAGATTATAAACAAATACAGCATAATATGATATAAAATAATTATTCACCTTTTCAATTACCGCTTGCACACTAGGTGGAAATTTATAAATAGCAGATTGTAAATCTTCAATATTATCATCTTCATTAGCTGACATTTTAGAAAGAAATTTAAAAGTAAAAAATAATAATATAAACAATACAAAATCCAATTCAATACATTAAAACAAATAGATTTTTATTCATTCGATTTAATTTGACGTTATTTAAATGGAAATTGCAATATATGTTTGTGTGTGCGCGCGCGGCGTGTGTGTGAATGCATATATGTGTGTGTGCGCGCGCGCGTATATGTGTATATATATATATATATATATATATATAAATAAAGGTTATCAACGTAAACCTTAAAACGTGTGTTGTTTTTGTAAAGTAAAGTTGAAAAGGGCCACAACTATGACGTACGAACTGTTTCTTGTGATATAGGTTTGAATTTGTGATAGGTGTGCATAGATTAAAGATGGACCGTTGTTTCACTCTATACGCTTCTTTACATTGTACATTACCAACACAATTTTCATTTTTCTAGTTTCGAAATAGTGAAATTTTGAGACCTTCGATGCGAATTAATGTAGTACCGAATGTTTGTATGTATGAGGTTATGACGCGGCTTTATTTGCCATATAATTTGAAAAATTTAATAAAATGAACGAACGATTTAAAGAACCCGTGTTATATGTTGGAAATGTTAGTGAAAATGATATTAATACATCTGGTTTTCCAGCAAATGGCGAAGAATACTTAAAAAGAGTCATGTAAGTTTTGAAAAATATATTTTATTTTAAATAGTTTATATGTAATTTATGTACATTTTTAGACTAATCTATGTAATTTTATAGATTAGAAGCCCGACAATGCGATGAAGTTGTATTTGCAAAGATTGATGAAAATCGATTAACAAAGCCAACGTTAAATGTTAAACCAGTTAGTTTAACCAATAGTTAGTACCAATAGAAGACTTATTAATGTATCATTTTTTTTTTAACACATTATCTTTTCATTTATACAGTTACCAGAATGTGCAAAAGCACCAGAATATATTAAACCAACACAAGAATGGCAGAAATGTCAAATTGTAGATTTTTCAAATACAAGATTGTACATTGCACAAATAAGGGATGAAATAACAAATTATAAGCGAAGTAAAATAACATTCAATAATAAACTGGTATGTAAATTTAATGAGTTAAACATTTTTAATTATAACACAAGTTTGAAGTAAATAATTGCTGGACGAATTGATTATTTTAATCTTACAGCCAAATATTAAAAATCAAAGTGGTTGGATTAATATATGTACTGACTCTAACGAAGATAAATCTTTATACATTGAGCCGACGCTCAGCGTTATTTTGACAATGAATCAATCAATGATCGAACAGGTTTTGGAATATTTGATTGAATTTCTTGAAGATCAGAAATCGGTTAAACCACAATTAGGCAGATGGTTATATGCACTTTTGGTGGCTTTAGAATTGCCACTAAATCCAGACATGTGTTCGTGTTTAAGATCTTTGGCAAGAACATGTTCAGAAATAAGATCTCATTTGGTAATTATTTTTATTCATGTTTGTTATTATTAATTTCAATACTACTTTATATATATATATATAAAAAAAAAAAAAAAAAACACTTAATATACAGTTACAAATCAAGCTTCTGTAGAATTTATAAGAATTAAAATCTTTTTAAAAGATTGTAATATAAATACAAGGATAATTTAAACATTGTATTACTGTATGAAAGCTGCAGGATATTCTAAATTTAATATATCTATATCTAAATTTCAGGATTCTTCGGATGTAAATGATGCTTTATCATTGAATTTATTTATCTGTTTAATCGCAAGATATTTTAGACAATTAGATTTAGCAGATCCATAATATTTTTATTGTCTTATAATAAATTGTATGATTTTTTTAATAAATAATTTATGACTTCAGATAAAAATAAATATTACTGTACGTTTAAATTAATTTTTTTGTATAATAATAAATCAATATTAAAATCAATAAGTGTATCATAAACAAATTGTATTATAAACAAAATCAGGTAGATAAGGTAATGTTACACTGATATAACAAAATGACTTATTAAAAATTAAGTATTTCAAATAATAAATTAAAATTTATTTTCTTGATCATGAATCAGTGCCGTTGCTAACCTTTCCAAATCGTCATAGCTAAGATGATTTACTTTATTTTGCAGATCTTTCGTAGTTTCATTCGCTATCGTTAAAGCATCAGCTTCTGAATAATATGTTTTTAGTACTTTTAGCATTTCTTGTTTAAATTTGTATACTCCATTTTTACTACGTGACGTTTGCAAATTCTTTCGCACAAGAACTAGCTTGCTGCCATCTTTAATGCCTGGATAAAAGATGATTTCATTCTCATCTAAAATATAAATATATTGAAATAAATAATAATCTATAGTAAATTAATTATAATCGTTGTACAACAATTACTTTATCTTTTAAACAAAGAATATATATGACAACACATTACACGGGAGAATGTTACAAGTTCATTCGCCCACGCTTGTAAATGCAAATGTGTTTTTTAATTGGGTCTTATGAATTTCATAAATTGTTCGATCGAATAAGGAGGAGAAGTATCGAAATATTATGAAAATTATAAACTAATAATGTGAAATGTGATAAAGCAAAATTACCTGTGAGTGCCTTTCCTAAATACAATAATACCTGATGAGCTACTTCAATGCCCAAACGATCGAAAATCTTTTGTTTTACCTGTAGTACTGTGTCCGAAGGCAATATCTACATATAAAATAAAATAAAACGTAAATAATGTTTTCTCTTTCTTT